AAACAGGACAGGCCCCAAAACCCATCCCTATGGAACACCACTGGTGACCGGCCGGCACCTGGACTTCACTCCATTCACCACGACTCTCTGGGCTCGGCCATCCAGCCAGTTTTTTATCCAGCAAAGGGTGTTCCTGTCTAAGCCATGAGCCACCAGCTTTTCTAGGATAATGCTGTAGGACACGCTGTCGGAGGCCTTGCTAAAGTCCAAGTAGATGACATCCACGGCCTTTCCCTCATCCACTAGACGTGTCACCTGGTCATAGAAGGAGATCAGGTTGGTCAAGCACGACCTTCCTTTCATGAACCAATGCTGGCTGGGCTTGCTCCTTTTCTAGTTATCATAGTTATATTTTCTGCACTTCCAGAACATCAGGCTGATAGACTTCTTGGTATGTCCTACCCCAGCAAAGAACAGTTGGACTTGGGCAGGTCATTAGTTGCTAATAAACTTTAACTTATCGTCACTTCCTCACTTTGCATAATTCTTTGTCACCTACATGCATATAAAAGGAACTAAAATACAGGAGAGGAAAGGAAGGACGAAATGAAATCTGATCAGAAGACAGATGACAGAAAAAAGCCTTCAACACTCACCAGCGGTGTCCAGCCAGCATTATCTTTGACATTGGGATCTGCCCCATTTTTCAGCAGCTGTTCAACAGCTGCTAAGTCACCCTACATAGGAAAAAAAAACGTAGTTATTAAAAAGTAACGAAGAAGATACACAAAGACAACAAAAATTTAAGAGAGGCAGAATTATAAATTTAGCTGCAATAAAAATGTAATGATACAAGTCTTCCATTTAGATACTGTCAGGGTAAGAAAAACTCAACTGTTTCGGAGACCACGGTTTATCATTACTGTTCATTTGCCAGTACCTATGCATTTTACACAAATATATATTGTTTTACAGAAGAACAATATGCATAACAGACTTAGAATAAACAAACAAGTTTGTGCTGATTGCAATCTGGCCACTAGAGTCAACTGCAAGGACTAAAATCAGAAATATTTATTCAGAAATTCCTTGTCCTTCAGAAAGGATTTTTTCCAAACTAATCTAAATAACTGTCTAAAGACATGTATAGGTGAAATAGATAAATAAACCTGGCAAGATTCGATAAATTGTTTTCCCACAAGTCAAAAGGAAAATGGAAAGAGCTGTATTTAAGGCTGTATTTAAGGCTCAGGTTGAATCTCACTGGCACTTTCTCTGACAGTTAATTCTACCAAGATAGTTTCAATTTGCTTTTGGAAGAACGTTATATATTCAATTTTTACTATAAGCAAGAAAATGTATGTGGAAAAAGGTGGAAACTAATGCAGAGATTATGGGAAGAGGAAAGAGGCTTAGGGGAGACAAGGTGAAGGAAGTTACTGGGCAGAATTTGTGAATCAGATGTTTTGATGCTCTTAAAAGCCAAGTGCAAGAGAGCAAGTTGGTAATCAGATTGGCGCATATACAGACACAGCTATAAATAGGCAAGGAGAAGATTCCTGCAGAAGCTGAGGCAAGGAAATCTCTGCAGTGCAGGTGTTCTTAAAAGCAGGTGGGAAAAGTAACCCAAAAAAGAGACTGAAAACAGACTTCGGCCCCCTTTCTCCTTTCACAGCACTGTCTGCACCCCAGCACATTTTACTTAAAACCCACTTTGTGCCGTGTCAGTTCCTGCTTCTGGCGTTTGTTACCACAGAGCAGCAATTGCAAAGGTCTGCCCTACTGGAAGAGGTGCCCTGAATTCTGTTCCAAAATTTTTGTTGTAATGCCAAGAACCCTCCACAGCTGTGGGCAAACAAGTAACAGAGCCAGTCTGCCCTGCACCTCTCAGCATCAGGTACCACCTTTCACACCTGCACTATTCCAGATCAGGAGAAGTTACATACTAGTTCTCAGCTGATGGGGTAACAGGGAAGGAGAAGATTGTCAAGTGTCATCTAATGACCACAACTACCTAAATAATGCAAGCCTTTCAAAGGCTAAACTAGCACAGTAGGTCTCAAGTTTCTGCATAGCTTGCCACTGATTCCACAACTGTTTTTATTTTAGGTTTTGGGGTTTTGGTTTTTTGGGTTTTTTTAGGATCTGCCCCGAACCAAGCATTTCAAGATGACCACTAACAACTTCCCTAGACCAGGTGTCTAGCTCTTGTTCTTGGCCAAACTTGCAATACATCAATATTAGGACCCAGAGGGGGGAAGAGAAGTTTAATCCATGATACACAGAAAGTTCCATGCCCTTAAGTAATGGCAAGTCAAGGACTTCCTAACTGTTACTCCACAGTGTACCTTGAAAAAGTGAGAGAATATTAAATTAAGCTTTAAATACAACAAAAATAAACTTAATCCCATTTTTTGGTTATCAAGGAACACTTTGGAAAAAACAAAATAGCTTTAATCTTTACTTTTTAGTTAGAGAAAATACTAAGAGAGATTCTGCTTAGCAGAAACAAATCCACCAAGTAACAACTGGAAACTCAAAGTTGACAAAAAAAAACCGCTGAGAATCACTGGCTTTACAACAGTCAAGCAAATTAACACAGAGATAAATCTCACATATTGTATTAACCACCTAGGTGTCCCAGGAAAATATTACCTTTCAAAGAAATTAAAGAATACACTGCTGTTAGAATGGTTGCACAGAAATAGTTGTGCGTCAAATCTGAAGAGTTATTCAGAGGCAGCTAAGACGGGGCTCAGCATTAGATCTTCTACGGAGAGAAGATACAATTATCTATAATGAGTGAGATCTGAGCTTATCATTTAGAGTTAAGTTTGCAAACATGTACAGCAAGGGTTTGACATTTCAAGAGTACTCCTTTAGAGCAGCAAGCATAGCTAATAATTTGTGTGGGCATAAGGCAGCATGTGAATGTTGATCCGTAAAGTATTACTGGAGTTCTATCAAAGGAAACATTGCTGGTGTGGACATCAGTACTGACATCTACAGAACAAAACCCAGGTCTAAATCAAAATTAGAAAATTGGTGTTTTGCTGTTTACAGAGGGAAAAGATTGCCATCGCCTCAGCTGTAAATGGAACCTGCTCCCTGCAACCAACACCTAGCAATGAGAGCGACAGAAAGGGAGGGGAAGCTGTCACTCCAGCTGTACTGCGCAACGACTGGATGGGCACTGTCAATCAGGATTACGAGAGATACATTAACAAAATTGTTCATAGCTAGGAGAACAACTTTTTGACCCCTCAGAGGCTCTGAAGTCAGTAACTATATTGTGAATATTTAGTTAAAAAAAGAGGAAGGTGAAAGTTCAAGAAGCAGATCTTTAGCAGGCAAGTGTTTGGGTCCCTCCTGCAAGAGGGTCACCATCATCTAACAGTGATCCAAAAGTAAAAAAAGTGCAGTTAACACATTGAGCAGTTCTATCAGAGTTGATGGAATTGCACGTATAAAAGTTAATAAATGTTTTGCTCAACACTAAACAAGAAAGGCTAATCACCTGGCAGTGGCAAGTCCCAGCCACAAATATCTATCTACCCTGTGTCCTTCTTCCACAAGTAAGAAAGCAGTAGAGACTACACCTATACTCACCTATTGCTTTGAGATTACTAATTCAAACATGCTTCCTGAAGTTGTGCTTTGACTAGTACCGAAATAGACTTTGCACATTTAGCCATAACCATAACAGATGAGAGGAGGAGAGGTCCTCAGCAGCTTGTCTTAGCAGTCTGCAGCAGCAGAGTAGAAATGTAATTGGAAATACTACTTGTTCAGAAGTAGAGAACAGGACAAACAACAGGTAGAAAAATGATAACATTAAGAATTCACAGGGAATTGTTTATTTTTAAATCTCATTACAAATGAAGGATTACAACTAGCTTCTGAAGAGGCAGAAACTATTGCAGAATGTGAAATTATCCATCTGGAAGAAACAAAGAAAAGGACATTTTAAGCTCAAAACAAAGCTTACATATAGTGACAACACAATAATGCACAGGGTTGCTCTTCCTCTGTGACAGCTTAAGGGAGTTCTGCAAACCACAGAAGCAAGAAAAGCATTGGGGCCATCTGTTGGCAGATCTAGAAGACAGCATTAGCTTACACAGAGAAGGGTATTTACACAGCTTTACAGACACTTCCCTCCCAATGAGAATTTCCTGCTGATGCTGATGGCATAAGACCACAAAAGCATCCTCATTTGGCTTAGGCAAGGTTTTTTCCCCCCAAGACAATTGTGTCACGATGTTAATGCAGACAGATGGTTAAGAAGAACTGCAAGTGTTCTTTTAGCCATAGTTTCTCAGGTTTTTTCTTTTTTTCCATTTTACCCTTTACTATTTCCATTAACCATAGATATTTTCCACCCAAAAAGTGACATTTAAATTATTAAGTCAGTGAAAACATTCTACCAGTTCAAAAAAGACAGACCCAAAGAATTAAAGCAGTACATGGAAATGAAGCTAAAACCCTGTACCACATCAACCAAAACACTTCTCCCTTTATTTGCAAAGGTAACTGACTTCCATCTTTAGGTCAAACAAACAAACAAAAAAACCCTTTCAAACCCAAATACATTTGCTTGTTTAACTTAGGTGGGGGTTGGGGAGGAAAACAAGGTTATTTACAACTCAGGATAAGCAGTCAAAGAGGGCAAACATGAATTACAGAGTGCTTATAATAATTGTGAATGGTCCAACCAGCTCTTTCCAGGAACCAGCCAGTTTCTCACCTCAAATTTCTCTAAATTAATTCCCTACCCAGCAGACCATTTATTAACTAACAAGCATGCAAGTAGCTATGCTTAACCTTTAACAAAAAGGAAATATTCAAGAAGTTTAAACCACCTCAGAAACAAGAGACATAACAACCAAGCATTGTAGAAAAAGAAAAGGCAATTTGTTTCTAACCTTTCAAATCAGCATGTGGGAAGATGGAGTGCTTTGACTCATGGCCAATTTTCATATTCTTAAATTCTGCATCTGAAACCATTACCCTGCTTCATATTTGCCTTAAGCTACCTGCTGGATACTACCCATAATCAGGAGGCTGCTGACCATTCCAGTACCACTTGGCTTTAATATTAGAGAGTTGATGTCAAACTACAACTTCAAAGCAGTCTCAGGTGCTACACCCACATCTGAGTCAACTTGCTAGTTTCTGCCAGCAGACCTCATTTCCCCAATGAAATGGGCATTATACACACAGCAGTGTCACCTGCCACACAAAATCACAAGGCTTGGAGCAACAGATGCACGATGCCGTCCATCCAGCACCTTTTGCTCAGGGGAGGCTGGCAATGTCTGACTGCGCAGCAGCACAACTCCCCTCCTGTACCTCAAGACTCAAGAGGAAAGGCAGGAGGGGAGATGATCCTCCCATGGACATGTGTGACCCAACACTCAACCACAATACACACGCATTTGGTACCAAAAGTGAGGAGCTGCACAGCTGATCAGGCCAGAGATACCTGAAAAAGGATCTAAAAGGTATTCTGATATTGGCCATCACATGCTCACAAAACCACTGAATCTTCTTTCACTGTAATGTGTCATTAACTGGAAACAAAACAATAAAAAGGAAGAACAGTCTCCCAGGCTCTCTCACAGGCTGGTCCCTGTGCTCCTTCCCTCTTTCTTCAGACTAAGCAGATGCTCTGCATAGATGCAATTTCTTCTTTCCACGGAACAGGGACAACTCTCTAATTGCTTTTAACTCGAAACTTAAAAAATCAAAACCTTCCTCCCAGCTACCTCCCATCCAGTCCTTTGTAACAGTGCAGCGGTTGCCACTGTCCTCTGTTACCCTGTTGCACTGTAGTTTGCTGTTCCTCTTCCTGGAACCCATAGTGGCAGCAACTCCACATTGGAAACTGCCCCACCATCTCCCTTGGCAATACAAAATACAGGCACAAGACGACCTGAAATACTGTACCAAGAAACGATGATTTTTTCTCTGTGTAATAGATATATGACTCTGTACTAACTAGTTAAGTAGTACTGCGCTGCATGTTTAATCACCATGTAAGAGTCAGTCCTGTGAAGTCATTATGCTACTGTAAAAAAAAAAAAATCAGATGTGGAAGGGCTGTTGATTGGGCAATTTCCCACCAGTTTAGAATATTAGGAGTGCAATAGGTCACGTTTTGTATTTTAACTAATTGGAAGTTTTACTAGAAAATTAGACTTTATTTCACTTTGAGGGGGGAGAGTGGCAGCTACAAGTCTGTTTCCCACTACACATGTGGAAAAACATTGCTGGCTGTGGAAAGAACAAGAAAACAAGTCATCTATAAAACAAAACTGGAAGATAAATACTTTTTCCAGAAACAGAAAAAGTGACAGCACTATTTTGGAAAAAAAAAACAAAAACAAAAAAAAAACAAAACACACAAAACAAACAAAACCCAAACCAAAACAAACCACAACGAGAATATACATATAGTATAAAGCCTAGCATTTTCCAGACCAGTTTAAGAAAACACATTGAGCAGTTCCATAGCAGGGTTCCTACAACTTGGAAGAGTTATCTAGAAACATACAGGTTATATCAAAGATACTTGCATGCAAAAAAAAATGTTTTCTTGCAATTGCCACACATCCCCAGCAGAATCATGGCAACCAAATCACTATTATTTCTTGTTCTTTGCTTCACAAAGTAAAATGTTACCAAAAGCCATGACCGACACTTCTCTAGAAAGACCAAGTCCTCACATCACACTGGCTTGAGCAACTTAGTCTTAATCCACTTTGACATGGACTGGTAACTGTGCCTACATTTACCAGGGAATGCAGCATCTTAGGAATGCTGAAATAGACTTGCGATTGAGCTATGTAACAAGAACAAAGAACACCACAAAGTAAAGAAGATAATCTGCACAGCCTCCTTCTACAGATGAGGAGCTGAGGTTCACGGACAGTAAAACAACCTTCTCAGAGTTGCACTGGACGAAAGTTCAGTAGCTGGGAACAAAGATACATGCAAGTAAACTAAGACTATAACCAAAAGACCGCACTCCTTGCCTCATTTTAATCACCTTTAAAATAGAGTGGTAACTTTGAGATCACCCTGGAGCCCTACCTAGTTAATGGAATTGACAAACTAAAACCACAGCAGAACTAATGAGGAACAGAAGCAACTTCCCATTTTAGCTCAATAATTATAAACATTAGAAGAAAATACCAGAATGAATTCACACACAGGACTGAAAAAAGCACTTGTGTCTGCCCCCCCCAATGCCTACACTGCAGCTGGAGGTCAGCTTTTCAGCCCCCTGAAATAGCCCTACCCCTTGCTCAGAGGGCTGTGCCAATGCCAACAAGCAATGCCAGCTGCGCCACTGAACTTGGATAGTCAAAACTTCTTTATTCTTTTTGTCTATAGCATAAGCTGTATATTTTTTTACTCATTTCTCTTCAGATTGCTTTGCAGTCGAAGACCACTTTATTGGCATATATTAGTTTACTTCAAGTCTTACAATAAGCTGCAGAGATGCTCTATTTTCTTAGATGAAATACTTGTGTTCCAGAGAAGTATCAGGCATGTTGCTAGAAACCATGCCTGTGTAAAAACTTGTCAAGGTAGATAAATTTTTTTTGAGCCAGTCAGTCATAATAGTATACCTTACAAATTCCCAGAAAATCATGGAAGGATAATTTGTAAACAGTGTTTTAATAAGGAGTAATATACAGGACTTAAGATGAGAGGTAAAAAGAGATTTATCTTTTAAAGCTCTCGAGTCCTGTGAGGACAATGTTTCATTTTCTCCTCCCTAGTTCCACATTAATGGCACCAAGTAAGATATCTGTACTCAACTCAGCTCAGCTGTCACTTCCATTTAAAAAGGTCTCATGCAGCAGGAGTGGCTTATTAGAATGCCTTTGGAAGAGGACACAGTTATTTATCAAGAGCAGCCTTTGTCTCAACAAGTAGAAGTGCTGAAAATGTCAGGATGCTTACAGGTGAATCAATTCCACCAGTGTAGGCAGTTTATTAACCACACAGTATTTCTATATTATGATTTAGCACAAAGTACATTTAAATTGCCAGACTACAAATCTTTGAAATGACCACTCAGAAGAGAGCTGTCATTTTAGCACATCTGATGAGTTTGACTGTAAGCATTCAACTTACCCCATCTGCATGCAGCTTTTACATAGTAATAACGAAGGACAACCCTTCCAAAGAGCAAAGCCATGAAGTTCTACCACAGCAGGAACTGGCTAAGACAATAAGAGCAAAGTAAGTGGCAGCTGTCATTCCAAGAATAACCTTGATAAAAGTGAAGTCTACTGAGAACATCCCAACTCTGTCCTAGTTCTCCCTTCTCCACCATCTGTGAGGACAGCATGCTCAGAGCATAGAGCTCAGCATGGCAATCCCAGCCTGCAGCATCTTGTTCCTGTTGAGTCCACACTTGCATCAGATGGAGGATCTCAAAGATTATGAAATCGTATACTGAGCTTAACTCCTTATGACAAACCACAGAGACAGCTTTCTGGCACATAAGGCCAAAACATCTGGATGCTGATCACTTCCTAGAACTCATAGGTATAACTGACAATGTAGTACACCTATACTTGAGTTTCTCAAGTATAACCATCTTTGATCATTCCTATAGTCGTTTCTTTATGAAATTAGAGAATCAGGTTAGAAATTCCCTAATAAACCTAGAAGAAAGAGACCACAAGATGAGATTTCCAACCCCCCCACCACCCCAAAATAGGATGTACTGAAGTAACTGGTTTCCAGGATATTTTTAATACAACATTGACTTTTTAAACCCCTGCTTAAACCAGGAGATCATGGTCCTACCTTGATGGAAGCAACATGGAGCAAAGTCTCTCCTTTGTAATTTCTTCTGGCAATTGTGTTACCACCAGGGGACTTCAACACAGAAAGACTGTGGGGTATTCCTACTTGATTACAAGTCTTAGAAGTAGATGGGGTAGAGGGAGATTTTGAAAGCGAAGGACTATTTATTGCTTGGAAGACTGCAGAGCTTCTTGTCTTCATTACGGTGTCAGTGGGTTTCGATACAGAGGAAGAAATCTGAACTGGTGTCTTGTGTTCAGTTGCTGGGGAGATGGGGCAACCCTGAGGTAACTCCTGGCTGCCTGACTTCCCAATAATGCTCCTCTCAGTTCTTCTTGCTCTTTTGGACTGAGAAGTAACTGGAAGACTGGATTGCTCCCTTCCACGTTTTAAAGGTGTAGTTTCATTTTCTATTGGCAGTGATGTCTCTGTAGCACAATTCTTTTCCTTGCTGACTTGTGCAGGGCACACAACCTCATTGCTATCTTTCTTCTCTGAGGTTTTCACTTGTGCTGACATTTCCTCATTTTCCGCATTTTTGCTGGAGTCAGCTTCCTTTACAGACTCCTGCTGATTTTTTGCCTCCTTCTGAAGTGACTCTTCAGGGCTGTTTGGCTCCGGAGTGCAGAGGACTACTGGTTGACTGCAGATGGTCACACACTTTTCCTTAGGAGTCTTCTCAACATCTCCTTTCTGCTCAGGCTTCTCTAAGCTCCACACTTTGTTAATGTCTGCTAGATGTTTCTTCTTCATCTTCTTACTCTGTGTTGGCTTTTTGATCTGCTTGGAGGGTTTTTCATGAGGAGGGGAAGGAAAGAAATCATAGACTGAAGATGTGTCTTGACAAAGGTCATCACTTTTAGTCTCAGTCCGACTCCTGTTCAGGACACATCGAAACTTCCTACTTCTTGGGCTGAACCACATTTTTATCTGTTCCTTCTTATTCTTTTTTATGCAGTCTGAGTCAGTTGGTGTGGACGTATGTTCCGTTGAATCTAAGTGCATCAGTGAAGAGGAAAACTAGTTTAGAGTACTCTTCAGTAGAACATCGCAAAAAAAAGATTAGAATAACAACTGTAATAAATGATGAAGTGTTACTAAATACAACCTATGAGTGCCTTGATTTCTTCTGAAGAGACATGTAATGGCTTTAAAACAACTGGCAAGGTCACAAGCCACTCTGGAGTTCAGGGATCCCATTGCAGCTAAAGCTACCCACGAGGCAAGTGAGCACCCTGGCAGAGAAATTTCCTCAATAGTCTCGGTTCACAACACAGCACGTGCACGGAAGATTTCTGACCAGGTTATAGAGAGGAAAGAAGCTGGTCTCTCATCAAGTTTTCCTTGGAAATAGGTTTAACAAAGTAGTTTCTGTGCTCTTTTATGTATGCACAGACACAACTTTCTTAAAAGATGCTACAGTTCATCTGAAGGTGAACAGGAAGAACAACTGCAAGCAAGCAAAAATAACATTCTTATAAAAGCATTGAACATTCCTGACAAATTGTGACTGATTCCACAGATATAGCAGATCAATCAGAGGAATATATAGAAAAATCTGTAAGTAATTGTGTCCTGTCATTTGATCCTTTACCCCTTGGTAGTAAATAATTCCAAGGAAGCTACACATTTCAATGATCTCAAACATTTCTTTAAAAATATGCAGTGGAGCAATTTTATAAGTCACATCGTACAGCATACAACAAATCAATAACCAGATGAATATCCTGTACTCCCAGTACATGAAATAACAGTTGAGAACAAGGGCTATAAATGGTGTCCTCAACAGCTCAAGAATAAATTAAGGAGCATGAAGTGACCTTTAAGTTAGACGCTGATTTAATTTGACAACAACTCTCTCAGTGCAAAAGAACTAATAACAGATTTTTTTACAGATTCCTTCCTGAAAACCTATGTTATTTTAGGTTACTTGGACAAGTCCTCCAAAGTAAATGCACAACTTATTCTTTCTGTTGCCTCCAGCCTCACAGACTAAGCTACCATTCACAAAGTCTCGGTGATTTACAGCAATCAATCACAAAACCAATATTAATTTTGCCTAGTGAGGCAAGTAGGGTAGTATTATTATTACTAAACAGAACTAAGAGCAAGATTAATGGAGTTTTTTTACACATTCTTGAAATAAACTAGACAAAGTCTTCATTATTAAAAGACACTCACTGCAACAACGTATTCCTTTCACTTCAGTGCATGAACTTTCCATGGATAATTTGTCTTCTCCATACCTTCTCTTCTATTTATGGTGTTAGTAACTATAGCCTGTTTTCCACAGCAAGCTGTGATTAAACTCACAGATCGCAAACTAGTCACAGTCCCTTAACCACAAAAAAATACATCTGAAATTCACTTAAAACAGAACTGTATAGCTAGTCATTCAACAGCAAAATAGATGTTTGCTGTTTTCTTTTAAAGTAATATTTCAAGGTTAAGTGTTTCCTCGATCTTGATTTAAATTACCCTACTTATCCCTTGAATTAAAATATGCTAGGTATTAGGAGATTTAGCTACAGAAATATATAAGGCATCAGAACAAAAGTGTCTTTAAGAATACAGCTTGAGGCTAGCTAATCAGTCATTTAGGTATCTAAAGATAACCGTCAAGTACAGAACTGCAGCTATTTGGTTTTCCTATAGGGCTCAGCTTGGTGCAAACAGGAAAAAGAGCACCGAAATGGAGACTGAAATCTCATAGCTAGTTAAGCCTTCAGAAAGGTTATCATATCCAGTTTCATTCTGACAATGACATCTAAAAAAAGAAACAACTTGATTGCAAGCAGATGCAAAAATATAAAACACAGTTATATTTACTTGTCATGCCTTCACTGTTTACACAACTAGCAGATTTTCTTCCAAAATATTTACCTTGCTAGAACTATCAGTCATCTCCAAGTAAAGAGAAAGAATAAAATCAGCTTGCAGAAGTAATTTGTAGAACATTTTTTTGATGGCCAGAATTCTTTCTGATGTGTATAGCACAGTAAGACTTTAAAGTCCAAGTGCCAAATTCAATCAAAGGCACTGTCCTTCAGAAGTAGGATCTAAAGCAGCATAACACAATTAAGTATCTACACTGGAAGCTATGTATATACCACTTCTGGCAGCAAGAAAGCTTGGGAAAAATCAACCACAAGGGTTCTTAAACTGATCTGTTCATCACTGGTTGCTCAGCAGGCACTTACTAGTCAGGTTATTAAAAACCTGCTGAAAATACACCAAATACATACTTTCCCAGGATTATTTTTACTCACATGCAACTACTTGAGGTGTAAAAGACTATGCCACATGTTTTAGATGAGGGAGGCCCTTGCAGAACATGTTTAAAAGGCCATGCATACTGTTAGAGATCTGTCACATCAGGAGGCCAGCCACTGACACCCAGAGAATCTCCAAAGCCTACGAGGGAAGATATTGCAATAATTTCTTCCAGGGTGTTTGTTGTGCCTCAGCTGTTCTTCAATAGCTCCATCTTTCAGAATATTCTGTAGCTTACCTGAACAGTTCTGCATAGCATCTGCAAAGAAACATTATTCTGAGACTCTGCTGCCCCTTTCCTCCATTTCTAAAGCATACAAGGTAGGGAGTAGAAGCAACAAGGACAAAAGGCCAATCCACCCTCCCTGAAAACCTAATCCTGTGATGGACCCAGAGCTGTGAGAAGGAGAGAGAGAAGAGACAGTGCTAAGGAACTGAAAGGAAGTTCTTATGATTTAATATGTAACTGTTAATTTACATAAAGAGAGTATTATCTGGTAGCTAAGTGCATTCAGTTAAACTACCTTCAGAGAAAATTACTCATAGAAAAATCGATCCAAAGGAACTCTTTGCTGTCTCCAAGTTGGAAAGCAGAGCTTATGTCTCAACAGGAATGAAAAAATTACATATATGTTTGTCTTTTTAATACATAGAAATACCCTCACACAATTTTTGAGATGCATTGAGACAGGGTAAATTAGTAAAGCATGCCTTACTAATTCTAGATTTCAAGCATTCTCAATAGCATAAAGACTATCCACAATAACAGCATTAGAATCAGCCTATAATAAATGTCGTATATTTACTCTCCATTACCTATTAAATGTAACATTCATATACACAAAATGTTCACTGAACTTTTTCTAAATTAGACTTATTTGCACATAATAAGCACAAGTTTCTTAATGCTGACATTTAATAGAGTTGAATTTCTTAAGTGCTAAAAGGGTTGAGAGTAGACAAAAATATTAGGAGATACACAGTGCCTTGAAACTAGAGAGCTACATCTCCAAGTCCTGCTGTAGTGCAATAACAGGCTAGAGCAGGAAAAAAAGGAACAATTAGAAAATGTGGTTTAGCTATCATTAATCTGCATCAAAGGAATATAATGATGCACATTGTGTGCATCTCAAATTATTCTCTATTATGGGTTTCAGAACAGAAGTTGAGAAATCTCTTTGACAAACTAGTCCCTTATTAAAAATCAAAGCGAAGTGCTTTGGTACCATCTGTGCAACATTAGTGCCTTGACTGAAGAATGATTATTTTGCAAGTTAAGTATTCAACACAGGGGGAAAAACAGAGAAATTCCAGCTATTCAAAAACTCATCTTTAGCTATTATGAAAAATGTCACAGCATACATGAAAAGCAATATAATCCGTTACAACAGGAGTTCAACATCTTTCCCCCCGCATCAGCTAATGTGAAACTAAATTATGATCCTATAAAGGCTAATCAAAATTATGAGTTTAGGAAGCTTTGACCAACACCTGCAAGGTCTTGGTCTGTATGGGAAGGGGGGAGGAAGGCTTTCTGTTTGACTGTGTTACAGTGAAGCAGATTATGTTGCAAAGAATAAAGTAAAATCATCTATAAATTATAGTCGTGAAAATTTATGACAATGTCTTTAAAGAATATAACAGAAAAATCTGCCTAAGTACTTAAAAATTACTTTCAAAATCATTACAGTGAATCAACCTTCTCCTTCTCTAGTGGACTATATTCATTACGTCCACGATTTAACAAGTTCTTACGAATTATCCACCTGTGAAGCCTATCATCCCAACAACTCCAATTCTCAAGATATCTTGAACTCTGCAACTTTAGAGCTAAAGATTTTGAGGTGCAGACATCCCATCTACGAAGCCTGCCAGCCAGAGAGCTTCCCATTACCCTCCTAAAGGTACAACGCTACAGCGGTGAAAAGGTCAGACAGCTCTCCTCACCTCGCCACAGGCTAAGGATCTAACAGCTCTAACAAGTGAATTAATTTTGAGACTCAGCATTTGCTACTAGAACATGCATTTGCTAGCCAGTTTCAGGTTTGTTGTTTGCCCTTCAGCCACCTCAGAACTATTCTGTGGTGTCAATTGCTGTATTTAAAAGGGAAGCATTAGCTGGTTTGTGCAGTCTCTCCTGAATGACTTGCCTTTGCTTCTTAGAACATGCATACAGTTTGGCAGAAGGCTATCTTTATAGCAGTGGAGTACAAAGTCAGATCTCTCTCATATCCACTGTGGAATCTAGTGGTATAGGAATCCTCATCCTTGAACTATTCAACACATGAGCTTAACACTATCCTTTTCAGTCACAGTAGCTCTGTGTGTTTTTGAACACAACGCACACAACTTACTGCGTTCACTAGGTCTGTCTTAGATTAAAAAGATAGGTAGTACAATGCACTTGCATTAGAAACTTCAGGGTCAACAAGGATCTCAAACAGAAGCCTTGAGAAAAGCCACAATTGTCTCAAAACAAGGCATATAAAACAAATACATGGAAAGATCCCTTTTTCAACTGCTTCTCTTCCTTTTCTCCACAGCAAGATTGATTTTTCAGTCTGTTTCCTTTACTGGAACCTAGAATACAATTTCTGACCTTCTAACAAAAAGAGAAAATAAAATATTGTCCACAGGAATGTGGCAGAAGTACAGTGCCGCAAGAACATGAAAGCAACTCCTTAACAAGAGAGGTGCTGATTCTCCAAACTCAAACATACTTCACTTTGTATACATTAAGTTCAAGACAGACATCTATGAGAGGTGACAGATTTGCCAGAGATGAGTGACTAAACACCCTAAAAGATTTGCTCGTAAAAATCCCTAAATCTACAGCATCCTGTGATTTGCCCTAGTACAACACATAACTGGCTGTTGTTAGAGATGTGCTAATTTAATTCTGTATCCAAACCATTCCTGACAGTGAACTAAAACCAACCCTGGAGGATTTTCCCTTAACCTCAGTATGAAATACCCAAAAGGCCATTAATCCTTAGTACAGGGCAAAGACTACAAGTGACGGAAAGTAATCTCCCACATCAGTTCATAACTTTATCTCCAAATAAAACACTCTTGGAAACTTCAATTTTGTGTCCGCTTTTAAGTTAGAAAAAGAAACCACAAAAATAACCTCATTTTGTTTCTGTGGTTCGGCCACACCGTGAAAACCTTATTTTAGCAGGACCATGGGATTAAATGTATTATTCAACTCTTAGTATGGTGAAACAGAACTATTTGTAGAAGTTAATCCATCTGTCCAAAAATTCTAAACAGTATCAATACTACCATATTGTATTTTAAATGCTTTATTTATAGCATCACAAATAGCTCCTCTCAGTGATTCTCCTCCAACTTTGTTTTTAAAAGCCTTCACCACTTAAAATGTTTCCCTGAAATCCTATTTAAGCCATCATCTACATTTTCTATACTTCAGAACATTTAATCACAGTAGGATTTTATATCTATATAAAATGTATTCCTTTGCTGTTGGACATAGCCTTCCAGCCTCCCCGCTTCAATTTATTTTGATGTCAATAAAGAGCTACCCCATAAATGAACATGAAGGTACTGATGGGATTAGACTTAGAAAAAGAATCTTTAATTTAGACAAACATATTAGGAAGCAACAATGAAGGAAGAATTACCTTTTCTATATCTGACAGCTAAATTAATGTTTTCTAAAACTTGTTATTACATAAAATGCTCCTCTCTGGGCTTGCAGAAGAGACATTCTTTCACCTACGCTCATTTCACTTCATTTTCTCCTACTTTGACAATCAGCCTAAAATTTGATAAAGAGACGAATTCCCACAATAGGATCTCTGTAATCTTCTAGCACAGTCAGCAATGACAAAATCCCATCGTAGCAGACTAGCTGATTGTTAGGGACCAGAAAATAAATGAGTTAAGCCTTCCCTCCTTTCCCTTTTAGGCAAGGAACACAGACAATTTTTTCCATGTGCAAAACCCCTAAACTGAAAATCACTGCGACAGCATGCATGCCTCAGTACACAAATACAAAATAAGACAATATATATGCATTAATCCTCTAACAGGGCCCCCCTAAAGAAGTGTACACTGCAGAACGTTACACATTTGTGCTCCCCTAAGAGCACAAGATACGTCAACTTGTGCCCCTGGTTTGTGTCACTGCCACATGACTTGGGAGTCTATCCCACTTCATCTAATTTTGGAAGACAGATTCTAATGAATTACAGACTAACCCACTCATGCAGATTTCTTAGTAAAACAGATTCAAAGAATGAGCAATCCATACAGACAGATCTCTTCAAATCAAATTTTCCAAACATGATTCGGAAAAACCTTTCAGAATCTTAAACAGAGCTGCACTGCTCATTCTCTACAGAGCCCGTGAGATGAAACAGAGCAGTCTGGATTCAACAGCTGTCAGAGACCCAGGTTTGCTCTTACCTGAGGTGTCTGCACCCAGTAGATGCCGCAGTTTGCTGCAAAGCTGAATCATGTTATCTAGTTGCCGGTTTATCTGCACATCTTGCACCCAGGCTGGCATGTGGCACACCGGGCACTCTGTGCCAACACAGTCACCCACGCAAGATCTGAAAGTCAAATGTAAAAATCCATTATCCAGCACAAGTCATCTACTGTACCTGCTATCAGCCTTTTCACAGACAAATGCTCAGCCTGAACCCCTTATTTTAGCATTGACAAACCACTCTTGTAAAGCTCACACGAGTTAGTCACGAATGCAGGAGAGGACATGTTTATCATGGCAAGTGACAAGCCATAATTAAGCAAGGCAAGTCCAGAGCCTTGTCAGGACACTGTCATGAAAGACATGGTATCTTGTGACTCCCACAGACTCACAAGCTGATCCAGATTTTCACGGTATGCTAAAGCTCCAGTGCTGTTTGTCTCCAGATAACAAATAGTCCCAAGCAGTAAAACTCCACATCCTTTTATATCTCAGTTAAAGACAGGGCTATTCTTCTATAGCCTTCATTTTTAAACATGACAGAAAGCCAACCCACAGTGAACCATTTCCACTTTTTCCTACTTAAAATTTTCTTGATATTGTGAAGTTTCACCTGTCTGAATGCTTTTCTGTCAGAGCTCCCATGAGGATCTGCAGATATTCAGTGTGCCATCACTTCTCTTTCAGAACATTTATGTCAGGAGATGATCAAGGTTAGGGGGGTGGGGAGGGGAAACAGGTTTACTTAGTAAAAGTCATTTAACACTTGTAGCTTCTTAGTAATTCTACACTCCCCATATAAGCCTAAAATCTTTTATTCATTTGATTAATCCAGTGAGAGGACCTTATGATTTGCCATCTGAATGGTAACACTCAAGGGCCATTGTTACTTCTCAAGTCCAATCTACCCCATTAAAGATACGTTATAATTTCACATACTCAAGAATGAATTAATTTCAAAAGTCTCCATTAACTTACCACCACATAGCACGCACAACTCTAGCCAAAGGTATAAAATTAAATGTGAGATCATGTTAAACATTCAGAGAAACAGAATGCAAGTAATATCAAGGCACTGGTACGTGGAGAGGAAGCTCAAAGTCTATGCATCTAGACCCTATAAACATACAGTCAGCTTGGAAGCTGACAGTCGTACACCCTAGAACTAGTGAACAATACCAGAAGTATAGCTACCATCACTTTCCTTAAGAGGAGTTATTTTCAGATCTGTTCTCTGCACTGGCATCTCTCCCTCCAACACCCCACAAGTATCATGCCTTCAGTTAATTCCAAGACAGGAAATGTGGTAAGTAAAAATTGCTGCTAGGTGTGTTTTGTGCTTTAAACAGCCCGCTCTGAGCACATGAAGAACCTCACAGTTGAGACACTGCTATGGCTGGGAGACTGAAGTACAGTTCTTGGCTCTGACATATTCCAGATGACATTGACAAATCACTTGGAGCAAAGATAAGAACTGACCAGGTCTCGTTCTCTAGGAAAGTTGGCCTGAGGTCTCCCACATCTGAAAAGGTAGTGCAAAGGAGATGCAGAATGACTTTTATACCATGACATTTCCTAATTACTTCTAGCTGTTGGGTTTTCAGTCATTACCCATTAACTATAACTAACTTAGTAGTTACTCAGACAAAACTGCAGAAACTGATCTTAATAAATATCCCTGCCCGTAATAAAACCCACACTGAGGGAGAACCACTTACATTATGTGTGACCTAATGATTGCAGTTCATTAGTTTCACATATTTCACTTCAAATATCAGAAGCCAGCTTTGGCCATCCACCCCACTCCTTTCCAGGTATATTAATAAACGCCTGTCCTTAGCAATGGATCAGAGTCAGTTCAGGTCAGAACACTGCAAATTCAGTCCATCCCCTACCAAATTTCCTTGTAAACAAATTAATCAAAATTTCTTCAGTTTTATTTAAAGAAATAGCTCCTATCCAAGAGTCAGTCATAGAATCATAGAAACCTAGAATGGTTTGGGGTTGAAGGGACCTTAAAGACCATCAAGTTCCACCCCCCTGCCATGGGCAGTGACACCTCCCACTAGCCCAGGTTGCTCAAAGCCTCATCCAGCCTGGCCTTGAACCCCTCCAGGGATGGGGCATCCACAGCTTCCCTGGGCCCAACTCTCAGCCTGTCCTCATATGGGAGGTGCTCCAGCCCTCTGACCATCTTCCTGGCCCTCTTCTGGACTCACTCTAACAGGTCCAGGTCTTTCCTGTGCTGAGGACTCCAGAGCTGGATGCAGTATTGCAGAGGGGGTGCCTCACGAGAGCAGAGGGGGAGAACCACCTCCCTCAAACTGCTGGTCACACTTATTTTGATGCAGCC